CTCTCTCTCTCTCTCATCTCACAGTGTTGAGGATGGAACCCAGGGCCTCACACACACTAGGCAAGCTCTCTATCACTGAACTAGACACCTCCACCCCTAGAGGATCTTTAATACAACCTAAATAATTATTTATTGGGTTCCATTTTTAAAAGGTACAGTATAGCAACCAAGTCACTTTTAAATACTTCCAATTATTCCTTGCCTCTCCCAGAGAACACTAGGGAGCCAACTCTTGGCCCACAAGGATATTTAGACCCCTGTCTCCCCTCTCCCCATCCCTCCTGCCAGCTGTGTAAGAACCAGTGTGAAGAGCCCTAGACTCTCAGCTTTTCCCTCCTCCTTCCTCCCTCCCCCCCACCCCACCCCCAGCTCCTGTTGAACAGATTCACCAAGGCTGCTGGCCTCCCAGCATACTCTCTGATTTTCCCATTACACTGATCCTCCATCATGGAGGAGAACCAGGAGCTGGCCAAGGGCCAAGAATATTCTCCTTCCGGCTCCAGTCCTGCACAGCACATTTTTTTTGTGTGTGTGTACAGGGCCCAATACACAAAGCTTCAAATAAAATCCAAGACAGCACTTGGCGAAGGGTGGCATGGCCTGACGAGGCACAAAGAAATTCTCTCCAGGGAAGAGTGGTCCTGAGATTGTGTGTTGGTCACATCAATCTCTATTTTTCTGACCACCTCTCCTGAAAACCCCCATTAGGAATTCAGCCCCCTTCTTCTCAAGGGCTTGCAGGATGATGGAACCCAGGCAGAATCTGAAACAGGTGACAATGGTGCAGAGAGAAAACCCTGGATTATTGAAGGCTACTTTGGTTTAGAAACATCCCGCATTGTCTGTTTGAAGACCTCAAGGTATGCTATCCCAGTGGCTAGGTGTCAGGTTTCTGGGGGCTGTTGGAATAAACAGAGCTGATCATCAGAGGGACTGGTGAATTCAACAGTGGTCAAGGAGGTGAAAAACAGAGACAAAACAAACCACCTCCAGCTTAGATTCTAGATCTTTCCTAAAAGACCTAAGGGGAGTCTCGGGATAGCCCTGCTGGATCCCAGGGGTTGGAATGGGAAGAGGGTCCTGCTTTCCACAGTCAGGCCCGGGCAAGCAGAACCACTTCTGTCCCAAGCAAATCAATCAAGTCTTAGCCAGCCTGTTTGAGTTGGTGAGAGCCCAAGTAGGACTTCCAAGCTGCCAGTGTTTGCTCTGCAGGCTGATAGAACCAAAGAGAAACACTGCTTCAGGACTCTGAGCCAAACAGCCATTGGTTTATTCTGCCAGCAGGCCTGGGCCAACTGTGCCCATGTCCCTCTCTTTGTTCTCTGCTCTCTGAAGGCCTTCTTGTGCCCTAAAAGGTGGCTTGCAATTGCACTCCACATCCCAGTGGACAGTGTTTCTTCTGGTTGCCTTTCTGGGCCTGGAACACAGATCTCCAGGTCTGACCCATCTTCCCATTCTAAGCCAGTTCCATATGGAGGCCCATTCACACAAGGACCCTCCACAGGTTCCTAACCTACTCTGCTCTCAGCTTCCTCCCTGCCACCTTGCATCAGGGGCTTCCTAGCCCCTGACCAGACTGAGGGAGAGAGAGCATGAAATTCTAAGTTGATGACATCTTTTCTCACATTCTTACCTGTATTTAATGTGACCCTTATAATTAGTCAGTTTTATCATCCCATTTGGCAGAGGACATGCCTGAGGCTTCAAAAGATCAGATACTTGCCCCTACATCACCCACTAAAGAGTCCCAGACTCCTAACTCTAAAACCAGGGCACTTTCTACTGAGCCTTCCTGAAGCAAGGTTTTTAATCTTTTGTTCACTTCTAAATGTCTAGGGAGTTTCTCAAGGTCTTCTTGATGGAAGCAAGAGGATATGGTTTGTTTGTTTTTAAATTTTTAAAAATTCTTATGTGTACGAGTGTTTTGCCTGTATGTACATAAATGCACCATATGTGTGCAATGCCTACGGTGGCCAGAAGAGGGCAGATCCCCTGAAACTGGTTGCTAGCTGCCATGTGGGTGCTGGGAACTAAACCCAGGTCTCTGCAAGATCAGCCAGTGTTCTTAACCTCTGAGCCATCTTTCTAACCCCAAGGTGGGTGTTTTAATATTCCCAAGGTAGGGTGGCATACCTGGTCTGAGCAGTTGACAATGTCTGCTTTGCCCCAGGCCTGAACTAGTGCCACTGCCTGGGGCCCTGCTGTCCTGCTTAACGGTCTGCTCTCACTCAGGCTCTATTGTAAGTTCCTTGATGACATTAAGACCCCAAGCTTTTCCCCATACCACAAGGGACACTGATATTTGATCTTCCTGAGGCCCACTCCTAAGTATCAGCACAAAATCCTTCCACACCAGAAATAGATGGACAGCATTCCCTGTTCTCACAAGCTCTTCAAGCAGGGCAAAGCGGTATGCTCAAGAGCAATTCATTGTCACAGTTTTCATCATTCTCACCATGGCCTTGGCGGCGTGAACACTTGCACATGGAAATGACTTGAGTTTCTTAGAAGAACTACTCTCTGTGTTCAACCAGGGCGAGTATCTGGATTACTGTCTGCCATATGTGGGAGCCCCAAGGTGAAATCTGGGCTTCCATCACTGAATCCCTAGTACCCAGCACAGCTCACTAAACGCTGGGGTCTATGTACCAATGAGAAGAATGTGAGGAAAGGCTCCTTCTCATCTGCCCTTGTCCCCAGCCTCAGGATGCCATCACTTAGGCCAAAAACTCATTGGCCAACCATAGGGCTCTTTTGTCCAGACACTCTGACTCTACGTCTTGTGTTTCCTGCTGACCTGGATCCAGTTTGTGGCTGCGATCTTCTTTACACAGCTGTGGGTACCAGACTCTCACCATAGCTCTTCTCAGAACCTATCTCCCTCTCTATTTGAGGTGACATCGCCAAGGTGATAGGCCTCAGGCATATACTGCAGCAATGAAAACAAAGTTGGCACTGCCTGGGTCCTGGGCTGGCCAGGCTAGAGCAAGGAATACCAATGCTCTGGCCTGCCCCTAGAGACCTAATGTGCCTAGACACAAGTGGTACCAGTACTTAAGCAGCTCCAAAAGACAATGGTGATGTAGAAAATGCTACCTTTTAAGTGAAGAATCCTAGCTAATCCCAGAAGGGAAGTCTGAAGTGCCAGATGCTGCTGCTGCTTCAGGTCATGGTAGGAGATGTCCTGGCATGGCCAGTAGGCCACTCCCTGAGCCAGAACTCCATCCCACATGACAGAATCCTTCTGGTCACCCACATGCCTTGGCATGAGCTTAGAGGAAATTAGCATAAACGTCCAAAGACGAGACCACAACAGTAGTGGCCAGAGAGCTGCAGTACCTGCCTACATCGGGCTTTAGAGGTGCCCACATCAGCAGGATCATAGCTCAACAGGACTGCTGGAAGCTCTTGGTCCATGGTACTCTGACGGTTTGCCCAGGAGCTCAGCATGCCCTTGCTACTGGGTCTAGGGAAGCTAGAGCCATTGTGGCCTTGTATATGGTCTCTGGCCGGGGCAAGTCTTAAGCCACTCCCCAGATCTGCTGTCTTGTGGGGTTCTAGAGAATCAGGTATCATGAGCATTTACCCATGCCAATAGTACAGAAAGACCAACATTGACACTGCAGCAGGTCTGAGACGCCAGCTCTGAAGGCCTGTGTTTACTAGGGCTGTCACAGCTTTTGAGGCCTCTGGTGCTTGTATACATCATGCATGTCCAATTATCTGTCACTGAGAATTTCTGAGCTATGGGACTTCTTCTCCTGGGGTAAGTCTTCAAGCATGAGGTTGAGCACATTCACAATCTCATAGTACAGCTCCTGAAGCCTGGAGAGGGAGCAGGAGAGGGGATCTGAGGATCATGTGGGCTCCACATACCACACACTGCACCTGTATATTTGCTACACCTGGCTGGTATGTGTGGGATCAGTAGAGAGCAACTTCTAGCCAGATCAGGTTGGTTGGAATCCCAAATCTGTTGATTTACTGGGGGCCCCAAACATAAGCTACTTTATCTTATGTGTCGCGTTAGAGATAAATCTCTAGGCTCTGAAAGAAGGAACACTGTGGTCATACCTAAACAGTGCCTGGCATGCTCTTGGACCAAAAGTGAGCATTCCCTGTTTTCCTCCTTTTAAGTTTCCATAGTCTCTGAAGGCTTCCAGAGGGATTTCAGGAAGAAGTCAGGCCAATGATGTCTGCTCTTACGAGTTCACTGTAGCTCTCTAGTGTCCACAACCCCTTTGCTGCCAATTAAAACCCCAGCTAGCTTGTACTGAGAATAAGCCCTAGGCCAGATCTTCACAGACAACCTATCATTGTCATCTAATAGGTCCAATGGCTCCTTGGGCAACAGGTAGGAAAGGAGCAGACACTTATCCAAAGTCACACGGAGGATAGTGGCAAAGCCAGACCAGGAGCCTTGGCCCTTGACTTACCATCCCATGCACTTTCCCTGCTCCCTGAGAAGGGACTGGTGAGCAGAGACCTCAGGGGTTGAGAGCTGAAAGTGAAGGAGAGCTGGGAGGGCCACGGGAGCAGAGGCCCCTCAGCCACAGACCTGTCCTCACAGCAGCCTAGCCCCCTGCTACCCCTGGGATACTGCACTCCCAGGAAGGGCCCTGGTGTACCCATTCATCCTGCACTCTAGTCATCAACCCTTCAACCTCCTGGAGTCTGTAACGTGCCCCAGCCTTGAAGAAGCCCTGGGGACCCAAGAATAGCTCGGCTGGGACTAACTTTTTGACAGTAGCATCTTGGTTGTCCAGAGTGGACAAGTAGACATTGATGAAGGGGAGGCTGGTGCCAAAGTCATCCAAGACCATGGGGTCAGTGTGCCGAAGGGTCGTCTTGAAGTCCTCCACCAGCTCACTGAAACCCTTGCCACCACTTTTCTAGAAAGGGAAGCAAAATGAGAGATCAATAGGAAAAAGGTAACACTATAGCTACCTAGAGATCTAAGGACCCTCATGGATTTCAGGAATCGTAAACCTTGTCAGAAATTCATCCTGACCTTGTTGACACCCTGAATGAGGTAGGCTTAGGAGCCACCATCCCTGATGTGATGCCAGGGGCGTGTGAAGGAGCCAAGGTGTCTAAATGTGACTGCATGTGGCCTTCTCCAGCCCTGAGCAAATCGTGGGCACAGCCAGACTGGTAGACATTTCTGCCACAGACAAGAAAGAGGCTGAGGAGAGATGTACTCAGGAATGAAAGACCTAGCAAGGCCCCCAAGCTGAACCAAGTGCTCAAACAGAAATGATGAAGAAAGCTAGCCCACATGGTGGCACTGTGCTTGGCAGAAGCCTTCCAGCCCATTGCGTTTGTTCTTGTTCTGGTTTTAGAAGCATGGAAATACTAAGGTGGAGTGTCACCCTGCCACCCTCTTATCCTCATCCATCCAGCGGCCTTGGGGCTATGCTGCCTAGCACCGGATGAGCTCTCAGTAAGTACCTTCTACACAAATGGCCTGACCCAAAGGGATCCACGGTGGAAATCTATCCACAAAGGAGGGAACACTCAACACAGCACTCAACACTCCAAATTGCTCAGAGAAACACAAAAATATAGAAAGAGAAGCTTGGCTCTAGAGGACCCAGGGGAAGGTGCTTGCCTTACTTAAAGCTACGTATACCTTAGGCCACCTGTCCTCTACCTGGGCCCAAGGCTCCTCTTCTTAGCTGTTCCTTTACCTTGACTGTCCCTCTGTCTGCCTGCATGGCCTGTTACCTTGCCTATAGGGCCACCTACCTGTGTGTTCACCAGTCTACTGACATCTTCCTGCTGCCGCTTCAGGATCAACTGCTTCTCCTCCGTAAGCATCATGTGCCTCTCCATCATCAGCTCCCGCTCAAACTTCTTAATGGAGTCCTAGCAGGTCAGAGGATAGAAACCAAGGTTACACTCTCTCTGCTATTCTCCTTTCCCAGTCTTTCTCTTTGCTGGGCTTGTCCTGCTGCTCAGGCCTCTAAAGGAGGATTCACCCCCAACTCAGGCTGCCACCTGCAACTGCAAAGCTCCACTAGCCTGCTGGCTACCACCATGAGGCAATGAACTCTGGAAGAAAAGTCAGTGCGTATGTGAGGGGTCCATCTGGCCACCCCCATTTCACTTCAGGAGTGAGATACAATTCCAGGTTGTTTTAGAAACATGGCCCACACCTCCGCCTGCCACACTTAAGCTGACCAGCCCCCACCCCTCTAAGCATAGTCTCACCTCTGTGTGCATGATCATCACACCCACAAACATGTTGAGGAAGATGAAGGAAGCAAGCAAGATGAAGATGATAGTGAATACCCGGCTCACAGTAAACTTCCTCTTGTCCAGCTGTTCCTGCAGATTTGTCCAGCCATCAACCTAGTCAGGCAGGGCAGGGTACACTGAGCTCCAAGGTCCAGCAGAATAGGTTTCCAAGCTGCCTTTGTCAGGACAGCCACGTCTCTCCAACACTTCCCCACCCACTGCAGTCTACCCCTGGTGATTCAGCAATGCAGGGCACCACTAGGTGGGGGCAAAAATGCCTCAGGGGTCTTTTCTCCAAGATTCCCATTTCCTCTCTAAAGACACTGCCAATTCTAGGCCCATCTTTGGAGTTAAAAACAAACACGCTTTACAGAGTTCAGCAGACACCTAGACTTTGAGGCTTAGGTTTTGCTTACCCTGCGTTGATTTGTGATGGCTTCTTTTCTTACTGTCTTTCTTTCTTTGAGACAAGTTTATACTGTAGCCCTGGCTTGCCCGAAGCACACACTATGTAGGCCAGGCCAGCCTCAAAAACACAGAGTTCCACCTGCCTCTGCCTCCTGAGTGCTGGGATTAAAGGTGTGTACCACCATGTCCAGTGTGACAGCTTATTTTCTTCTTTAAAAAAAAAAAAAAACTTCTTAAATTTTTTAAATTTTATGTGTATGCACGTATTGCCTGCATGTAGGTAAGTGCACCCACGTCATACAATGCCCGCGGAGGTCAGAAGAGGCTGTCCGATCCCTGGGACTGGAGTTTCGGACAGTCGTTAGCTGCCATGTGGGTGCTGGGATTCGAACCTGGGTCTTCTGCAAGAACAGCCAGTGTTCTTAACTGCTGAGCCATCTCTGCAGCCCCAACTGCTTATTTTCAAAAAGGCAATGTAAAATTTCATTTATAACCTATGTTTAATCAGAATTAAGTATTATTTGAGAGTTATTACCCCTTGGAACATTTGGAATAATTTCCAAAGTCACAGGAGAGAGAGACAGAAATAGACCCCTGTCCAGGGTACTGGCCCCTGGCTAGTCCTGGGATGTCACCCTCCATCTTTCCTGTACCCAACTAATAAGCACTTGAACATGGGAAAAACTTCACAAGAGACCCAGCATGGCTGCAAGATTACAAGTTCTGGACAGTCTCTTCTCCAGGCCTGCCCTCACCACCTTTCCCAAACACAGTACCGTGGCCAAGCTGAAGAGGGTGAAGAAAGCCACAGCCAGATTCCCCCAATTATCCAGGTCTCCCTTCTCTGGAACTCCAAACAGGCAGAATCCCAAGATAGCGAAGATAAACATGAGGATAAAGAGTAGGGTCAACACAGAGGCCATGGTGTAGACTGTCTGGCCCACAGCAGTAATGAGGGTCTGCAAGACAGAGACACTGTAACTAAGTAAAGGTGCCTGGCTAAGCCCATCAGAGGACAGAGGTCCAGCTACCCGGTTCATAATTTCCCTTTCCTATGGGCCATACCTGGCACACAGTAGAAGTATCAGTTGAATGGATAAATGAATAGTCAGAACAGTGCCCAGACCAAGGGTTGCATCAGTCTCACAGTGGCATCAACCCTCAGTATTGGGCAAATTATACACACTATCTCAGATCTGGGGCCCTACAAGGCAGGACAGGGAGGAGGTGGCTTCAGGCTGACACACTGAACAGAAGCAGTAGGGTCCTCAACAGCTGGGTGTCCAGCTGACAGAACTCTGTGTGTAAAACTAAGGATCTGTTTTCTTGCAGAACAGGTTTACTGCCATTAGGTGGAAGATAGAGTGCCATTTTAATGATTAGAGGACAGGAACCAAGAATGTGCCAGATTCTCATTGGTTACAGGTTCTGTTACAAGCCCCACCCTCAGTAGCTCTAGGTCTCCCTGGCCAGCAGCCCAGGCCAGTACTCAGAGCACATGCAATCTAGGGTCATATCTGCATCCCTCAGTACCTAGGAGCCCATGAAATCCCAAAGGCTACAAGAAGAGCTGGTCATACCCAGGAAACTACCTCAGGGTACCAGATTGTGTTTAATGACAGAAACCCCTGAGGTTCAACATGAAATGCACATTTGAGTACATGTTGTGTCTGCATGCGCACCGGTGTCTGTGTGTCTGCAAGGACCAAAGACTAAGCAGAGGTCTGAAGCCACTAAGCCACTAAGAAGCCTGGATGGCTCTGGAATACAGCCTTCAGCCATCAAGGGCTTCTCCAGGCAGGAAGGGTAGGCTGCCCCTTCCATCCTTTCAGCCCCAGGTATGGTCTTAGCTTTCTGGCCAGGCTGCCACAAGACAGTCAAGGCTGATGTCCCCAGCGTCAAGAGTGTCTAGATGGGGTCATTTTGCCTTCCTTCTAAGACACAGCTCCTCCTGTCTTTCTGCCTCCCTCCTTTAAGCTGCCTTTCCTCCAGCCCTCAACACATCCACATCACCCTCTTCCTCACAGGACTCCCACAGATGTTTTCCACCTACATTCTACGCCATCCTCCAGTCTCACCTGAAAACCTTCACTCCCAGGAGCCCCCTCCAGGGACTCTGCCCTCAGATTCAAGGGTCATCCTCTGCCTTGTCCTTGGACCCCCTGCTTCTATGGCTAAGTCCCTAATTCCAGACATAGCCAGGCTTCAAGCTTCCCACTTCCTTCCTCTAATGTCTTGGAGTCTCTGCTCCCAGCCTCAGCATCTGCTCCCCTGGTCTATCCTGTCGTCTTCCTTGGGGCTGACAGCATTGTTATTGTCCCTGGTCTTCCTTTGGCGACCCTACAAACACTCTAGGCCCATGTTCCTCTCGTTTCCAATACCTTTAGAATATAGGCTAGACTTCCCACTGTCTGATTACTCCTTCACTTTGATGGGCCCAGCACCTGATGCTGATCCCCAGGGTACTAGCCTTCTTTCCCATCCCTTGCTCTACTCTTATCCCTACAGCGCCAGTGCCCAGCACCTCAGACATCCTTATCCCTCCCTGCCAGGACATACTGCAGGATCTGTCCTTAGCCTATGAACAAGGGGTTTGAAGTAGAGGGTGCCAGGATTTGATATGCCTTTAGAAGATCCCTTCAGCTGCTGAGGCATTTCTCCTCTGGTCTCAGTGATGTGGGATACTATTGCGGGAATCCAGGCAAAGGCTGACGTAGTAGGGATTAAAAGCTGTAAAAGAGTAACTACTCAGGAGGCCATGTAACAGGCTTTGAAAGGGAAGCGATAAGATGACACTCAGATCTATGACTTGGAAACTGAGTGGGGTTGGGGGATACCCTTCGCCAGGAAACAAAGTACTGGAAGAGGAACCAGGGTTCAAGAAGAAGGGTGGGGATGAGCAAAGTGTGATGAGCTTGTCGTTTAGACATGCGCCAAGAATACATGAGATCTCCAAATGGCAGTTGTGTCTGAAGGTCGCAGAGAATGGCTCAGGCAAGCTAAGAATTCAGAAAGTAGAAAAGATCACCCAGAGAAAATAAATAGATAGGACACAGAGAGAGAACACTGGATGCAATCCTGAGAAAACAGCTATGGGCCAAGCCAGGGAAAGAAGCACTGAGAAGTCAGCCTGAGAGATAGAAAGCAGAGGCAAGGGTGCCAGGGAATCTCGCCACCAGATTGTAAGGAGGAAGCTGTCAGCAGCCTCAAGGAGGCTAGTTACTCTAGATGAAGGAGAAGAAAGCAGGCCATAGTGAGAGACAAGGAAGTGAGGGTGGGAAGTGCAAATCATTACCCAGAAGCCTGGCCAGAAATTGGGATGGAGGGTTGTGTACACACAAGCACACACAGGCATGTGACTGCATGAGAGCAAGGAATGAGTGGCTGTGGGTGTGTGCCCAGGGAGCTCTCACATTTAGGATCCAGACACACCCTGACTGGACAAATAGACCCAGACCAGCCTCTTCCTGGAATGCAGATGCCAGGGCAAACACATTGTGTCCAGGATGCATGTCTATAGGCCTGGTTGAGGATGAGGAGGTCAACACTGAGGCTTGCTCTGGAAAGGCTAGTAACTCTATGGCCTCAGCTACTCAGGAAGATGGTGGGTGCAGTGCTTCTAAAGCAGTCTTAACAAAATGAGGAGACCTTTCCTAATCAAAAGGAAGAGCAGACTGAGCCACTGGGTAAAGCACCCAGTGGCCAAAGCCACCCGAAGACTGGTGAGTCCCAGCATGCAGCTCACACACAGCATCTGTTGCACACAAAAGTAGGCACTGCAGCGTGGGAAAGAAGAAAAGCTCAGAGAGCCTGTACAGTTAGACACACTGTCCAAATCTCAGCCCTGACATTGAACTACTGACTGACTTTGGGCCTCAATTTATAGCTAATAATCCCTTTCTGATTGGTTTTAGACTGATGACATTGGTAAAGATCAACCTGCCATACAATAAGACTCATTAACAAGATGATACTCAAATCATTATTTCTTGAGGGGCTGACCTGGCACCCCCCAACCCCAGCATACTTACCCTGATGCCTCGGCTATAGGGGATGAGCTTGAGGATGCGCAGGGACTGTATGCCATCAGCGATGTTGTGGTACCTATAATGTTTTCCCTTGATCTTGTGGAGAGAATAAGGCACCAAAATAATGACGATAATGACCACATCCAGCAGGTTATAGCCATCCTTCCAGTAATTGATGGGGTCCACATAGACTTTCATGAAGAACTCACAGGCATAAGTGGAGACAAAAAGGACTTCTGAGATCTGCAAGGGCGGCAAGGGTTGGAGACATGACCAAATGCAGAACCTGGAGTCCTGGCCCTCTCTCTGCTGAGGCCCCCAGTCAGGCATGGAGAGGGAACATTGCTGAGTCACCCATGTGCTCAAGAAGTCCAGGCAGAGTCCCTGGAACTCTTGCTGTACCCGATTCCCTCCTCCTTCTATGTCTTCCACACTGGTGGCTTGAAGCCTAGGGCTAGGTTTGTCCCTGCATGCGGAGGAATGGCCAACTCATAGCTGATCGACAGACTGAAAATGGGTACATATACAGGCCCCAGTCAGTATTCAACATGACAGGCTACCTGACTACAAATATTCCCAGAGAGAAGGCCTCAAGAGTTTTCTGGTCAGCCTGCATGTAGAAGCTTTTATAATATTCATGAAATATGCAAATATCTAGTTATAGTTAACCCATCAACTTAATCATACCTACTTAAAGATCGACTATCTAAGGACATCTGCTTCTGGAGGGCATTCTGCACTCTTCTATTTTTATGCTCTTTGAACCAATATTCTTAACATTCTTACAATCTACAACTCTAGCAGCTTCATTGTTGCTAACAGATCCTTTTGGAGGCATCTAAGATTCTTCTCAGCATCTAAATTCCCTTGTCATCTTGACTATCATCCAATATTCATTCATTATTCACTCACACATGACCAAGAAAGCTTAGACTGAGCACCTAACCATGTGCCAAGTGAGCACTATTTAGGCATTAAGAAATAGATAATGAGTAAGAAAATGTCCAGCCTCCAAGAAACTTGCAATCTTGCAGGAAAGCCAGGAGGAAAAATCCACATTTCAACTCATAGAATACAGTATCAGATAGGGAGGAAAATAAACTCAAGCAAAGGAGCTAGAGCGACCAGGTGAACCAGAGACAGCCCTGCCAGCTGTTTCACTGATTTATTTATTATATTTTTATGTGTATGAATGTATTGCTTGCGTGTATATAAGTGCACCCACATCATGCAAAACCCACAGAAGCTGAAAGAGGGCATCAGATCCCCTGGAGCTAGAGTTACAGACAGCTATTAGACACTGTGTAGGTGCTGGGAACTGAACCCGGGTCCTCTGTGAGAGCTGAGTCATCTCTGGCAGTTATTTTAGAAAAGATGGTCTCATCAGGAATGGCTCCCAAATAAAAGTTAGAAGTCACTTCCTGGAAGCGGGCAGTATAGCTACAAGAACTCCAATGGAGGAGATTGTGTGGGAGCAGCAGGGGATGGCCTGAGGAGACAGGAGGAGAAAGGGTAGAAATGGCTGGAGGGCAGAGCTTGGGAGTGGAGATCTGGAGACATGAAGCTTGATGCATGCATTTAAGAGCCCTCAGCCACTGCCCAGAACTGGAGACTGTGGAGAAAGCTGCCAACAGCAGCTTGGAGATGGGTCAGAGAGTTGACACTCACCCAGATGAGAGGTGTGGGAAAGAAGAGAGTTCTGGATAGAGGGTAGGTTTGCTCAGTGATGCAGAGATACACAGGAGAGAGACCAAGAAGCTCTGCATTTCAGATCCAGCGGCTGCTAAATCTAACCCTCTGGGAAGGGATTGTGATCAAGTAAAGGGGTGCCTTTTGGGGAAAGCCCAGCTTGGTAATGCTATATTATCTTTTTCATGTGTTTGTATTGTTTCCTAGTACTCTGGGAGTTTGTAACCAAGTTCAGAACCCTGGATGCAGTTTTCCTTTTCACACTGACCTTGCCTACTTTGGGCATGAAGGCAGGACTAGTTTCATAGGATGACTTGCCATGTATCTAACCACCCAAAGAGTTTAAAAAAATATTTTATATATTATTTTTATTTTATGCAGATGAGTTTATTGCCTGCATGTATGTAAGTGCATCACATGTATGCAATGCCTGCAGAAGTCAGAAAAAGGTGTTAGATCCCCTGGAACTGGAATTACAGATGGTTGTTAGCTGCCATGTGGGTGCTGGGAACTGAACCCAGGTCCTCAGGAAGAACAACAAGCGTTCTTTATTACTGAGCCATCTTTCCGGCCTCACCAGAAGAGTTTTATATGTTTAGAATTAGAGCTCTCCATGCATGCATGCAAGCCTTTAGTCCAGATTAGTCTGTTTCTCAGAGGGAAAGGGTAGAATTTTAAGTTGCTAAGCCAACACTTTATAGTTGATTTATAGACATACCATTTGAAGTTTTTCACTTTCTGAATCAGTCTTGTACATTTCTTCTAGAAAATTGTTTCAGCTAGGTTTTCAAATTTGCTGGCCTTAAATTATCAGATTTCTTTCTTTCTTTTCTTCCTTCCTTCCTTCCTTCCTTCCTCTCTTTCTTTCTTTCTTTTTTTCTTTCTTTCTTTCTTTTTAACCTAGGGTCTCACCATGTAGCCCTGACTAGCCCTGGAACACCATGTAGATCAGGCTGGCCTCATAGTCACAGAGATCAGCCTGCCTCTGCTCCTGAGTGCTGGGATTAAAGGCATTCACCACCCATGCCCTGCTGACCCATCACTAATTTTTAAAGTGAGATATAATTCACATACCATAAAATTTCCCATTCTAAAGTATAGAATTTGATGCATTTTGTTTTATTAGTTTTGGGTATTTACTTAATACTCTTTCTTGTTTTTTTTTATTGTGGCAAGTAAAGTATACATAACATAAAATTTACCATTTTAGGGCATACAATTCAGTGGCAGTAATAACACGCACACTATTGCACAACCTTCACCATCATTTACAGAACTATTTCATTATCCAAGATAGAAACTATGCCCAATAACCCTACATCCCCTCTCTCCTCGAGCTAAGGTAAGCTCTATTCTACTTTCTGTTTGAATCTGCTCATTCAAGGTGCCTCATATAAGTGGAACCATACATTTTTGGTTATATTTGTGTCTACCTTTATTTCACTTAATGTTTTCAAGATTTACCCACATTGTAGTTTACCAGAATTCCATTCTTTTTAAAAGCTTTTAGTATTCCATTATATGTATATACCACTTTGTTTATTCATTAATCTGTTGATGGGAGTTTATGTTACTTCTACCTTCTGCCTTTGGTGAATAATGCTGCTACGAACATGGATGTACAAGTATCTATTTGAATGCTTGCCTAAAATTCTTCTGGGCAAATGCACAGGGGTTTCTGGAGAACTTCCAAACTGTTTTCCACAGTGACGGCACCATTTTACATTCTCACAAGCAAGTACAAAGATGGTTCTGATCGCTCCACACCTTCACAAACACTTGTTATGCTCTTTGCTTTATGACTGCCATCCTAACGAGCATGGCATTGTATGCCACTGTGGTTTTGATTTGCACTTCCCCAGTGACTGGAGATGGTGAAAATCTTATGTGCTTACTGGCCGTGTATATCTTCTTTGAAGATACTACTGTCTATTTAACTACTCAAGCCCTTTGCCCATTTTTTATGATATTGCTGTTAAACTGGAAGTTCTTCACAGTCTTTTTGTTTGCTTTTTAAATTTATTCTTTCACAATTTCATATACAAAACGGACTCAAATCACACTCCCCCACTATCCTCTCTTAGCTCCTTCCCCCGTCACTGAATCCCTTCTTCCCAAGAAGTACCCCTTTTATTTTTGTGTCTTTTCTGTGTATAGCTAACTGCGTTTAATTAGGGTTGCTTGCATGAACATAGTGATGGGTTGTTTACAGGATTGCCTTACCCATGTGGTGTGTACACCCTGGAAAAATGTCTCTCCCACCCCCATCAACCATTAACTACCTATAGCTCCTCAGGGAGGGGAGACCCTCCCCCATCTATGATAAAATGTTGTTCCCAGTCTTGTGCAAGGAATCACTGCTGCTGTGAGTTCATGGGTACAATGGCCATGTCATGTCCAGAAGACATCATTTCACAGCACTCCTCCCCACCCTGTAGTTCTTAGGTTCTTTCTACCCCCTCTTCTACAAATGAGCCTTGGAGAAGTGATAGAGATGTCCTGTTTAGGGCTGAGCACTCAACTGTCACTTAGTCTCAGCACTTTGACCAGTTACGAGTTTCTGCATTAATTTTCACCTTCTCTGGCCAAGCCTGAGAGCAGCACTAATCTATGGATATAAATATAAATATTTAGAAAGTAGTTTGACACCATGTCCATTTAACAAAACAACAGTGGTAACTCCCTGCTTGGGCCTATGACCTCCCTAGTCATGGGCTTTTGACCAGGTTTATAGTACCAGGCATGATTTCCTCCTGTGGAGTGGGCCTCAAACCCAACCAGAAAATGGTTGGTTGCCTCCATAACAGTCATACTATTACTGCCCCAATGGGCACACCTTGTCTGGCAAGTTGTTATTGTTGCTCGTAGGGTCCACAGCCGGGTAAATGTTCATGACTTTTTCCACCAGGAAGCCTGCATAGTACTATGAAAGCTACCTAGCAGGTTGGTTGTTGTTGTTTTTAACATTTATTTAGAGTATGTGTGTGTGTATGCGTGCATGCATGCATGCATGTGCATGTCACAGTATGTGTATGGAAGTCAGAAGACAGCTTGTGAGAACTGGTTCTCCCCTTCCACCATATGGATTCTAGGGATTGAACTCAGGTCAGGCTTGGTGGAAAGTAAGTGTCTTTACACACGGAACCATCATCTGTCTGGCCTCTTTGTTATTATTATTATTATTAGTAATTTTACTTTTAAAATAGGGTCTCATGCAGCCCAGCTTAGCTTCTAAGTCCTTATCCTCCTCCTCTACTTCTCAAGTTCTGAGATTACAGGCATGTGCCACTATACTCAGCTATGTATTTTGCTTCTGTTTTTCGGTCTCCCTGTTGCCCCAGCTGAACTACTATGTGGCCTCTAGAACTTATTGTGTAGATCAGATGAGCTTCCATCTCAAGACCTCCCTTGCCTCTATTTCCTGAAAGCTGGGATTAAAGACATACACCACCATTCCTGGCTAACACAGTCTTTAAAATTTTTTGTTATTATATTTACTTATTTATTATGTGGGTGTGAGTACACGTGTGCCACAGCAAGCACGTGGAGGTCAG